CGCCAACAGCGTCAGCGTTACCATGACGACGGAGTAACCCTGTGCTACAGCCGGCGGCGCTTGATAGCTCGGCTTTCCGCTCTGGCCGCTCGGTAACTCGTCTCTGCGGACTGCGTCAGAGGTCGCCGCGACGCATGCGCACTCCATTAAAGTGCCTTTCTGGCGGCGGTGTGCGTTTTGTGGAGACTGCTGAGGCGAGGAAAATGGTGAAGCTGACGGCGGAGCTCATTGAGCAGGCGGCGCAGTATACCAGCGCCGTGCGAGACCGCGAGCTCGACCTGCGCGGTGAGAAGCCAGCTTGGGGGTTCTGCGTCCCGGGGGCGGAGCGCGGGTGAGCTTGATCCTGCTCGGCTTAGTAGGCCCCAGGGTTCCTAGGCTGGCAACGCAAAGCCCCTTCCGAACGGGATGGTGGCCGCTGAGGGTCTTATTTCGAAAAGCGCGCTCATGGAATATTAGGAGACGAGGGAGATCGCGTAACTCTGTTCTCCGCGGGTTTTACAGTTCCTCGGGAGGCTCCCAGGAGCGCCGTCGGGAATGGCTCTACTTCCGGTCCTCTGGCCCCGGGGACCATCTTTATACCCAAACCTGTTTCTGGCCGTCGGTTCCGATTTGGTGTGGCCTGCAAGGCCCTGGCGTGGCTACCTGGACAACAGCAGCCTTGATTCTCAGTGCACGAACAGGCAAAAGAGCAGGCTTGGTTCTTCGGGGTTGGGGCCCCGAGAGAAGGCTTGACCTCTCTGTTCTGCCTGTCCTTGGCCTCTTTAACTTGCCTTAAGTGAAAAATGCGCCCTTTGGGCCTGGTGTAAGGCGGCTTGGCCCTGACCCTCATGGGTGATAAGCTCTGATCGTGCCGGAAGCATTCAGGGCTCTCTGGCTGTTATTGGTGGGCCGGATTTGGTATGTTTTTCCTCCAGAAGGCCTATAAAAACAAATTGGTTGGTTTTTGCTGATTAATTCACTTTGTAATAATCTAAGTTAATTGATACCTAGAAGCCTACAAGTAAGAAAGAAGGCCAGGATCTTTTGTTTTTGGTTCTCAGCATCTGTTAAAGTGTGCAGTTCTGGGTTTTTTATAATGTTGATAATGCTGTATACAGGACTTCTATATCTAAAACCATTGAACAGCTTTATGAATTTCATTAGATAAGTTTATAAAGTTATAGAAATGCTGTTTCCTTCTATCTGAGCTTGCTGCCATTCACTCTGGCAGACTCCCAAGTTCTCTTGTGAATGTGCCCCATTTTGCCAGGCCTCCTTGCCAGATTTGTTGTAAGAAGTACAGCAGTGATAGTTTGCTCTTAAATGTTATCAGATGCATGCTTAGAATGTATATTTTCCTTTTTATACTGCTCTGTGTTTTATCAGGATACAAGATTCCTGTAATTGAGAATTTGGGTGCCACGTTGGACCAGTTTGATACTATTGATTTCTCAGACAATGAGATCCGGAAATTGGATGGCTTCCCGCTGCTGAAGAGGTTGAAAACATTGTTGATGAATAACAACAGATTAAGGTGAGTGTATTTGCCGCCACAATTTTGAGGCCTGGAGTCGTCTTCTATAAATCTGTGGTTCAAATGGAGATTCTAGATTGTTTATTTCTGTTGCAAATGTAGAAGAGGATGATACCTGGTAAAGAGATTCTATTCTATCAGATTTAGTTTAATAGCCTTCTTCTCTCTTTACGCTGTCCTTTTTTTTTTTTTAGCCGAATAGGTGAAGGACTGGAACAGTCTTTGCCAAATCTCACTGAACTCATCCTTATCAACAATAACATAATGGAATTGGTAAGTCAAAGGAAAGAATAAATAACTATATGAGTACAAGGGTGATCTAGAATTTGAGAGTTATGTTCAGTTTCCTTCTCACAACCTAAACATTCTTAAACATGAACACTTTAGTTGGGCATGCATAAAACTCTGGGAATTTGTATGGTAGTTTCTAGATGAATTTCTACATCATACTAAGCCAGAAACTACAGTTTGCAAGGATATTGGCTGGATTTACAAATCACTTTAAGCCAAAACACAACAACCAATTTGTACCTCATCTATCCTGAGTTGCATAGCTAAATGTTCTAATGGTTTTCTTTTATTCTCCTAATCTGAATTACATGTGTACTAATATTTTAATTTCCCGTTTTCCCGTAAAGAGGATATTTGTTTCTGTGTTTAATGACAGAATTTTCCAAGCCTTTTTTCTCTCAGTTTTAGTGTTACATCATTGGTTCATACAGGCACATACGTGTTTAAACATATATGTGTCATTAATATAAACAGAAGATAAAAGTTCTTAGGCAAGAAGCATTGATGAAAGCAATTTGAGTTGTTCTCCAGTCAAGGTTTACAATTTTCCCCTCTTGAGGAAACAAAGACAGGGCTGGTCTAAACGTAGTTTGACAAAAACACAGGTGTCATTGTGAGCTTCTCTAATTTTAGTCTATATGTGCTGTTCTGCCTTGCCAATGGCTTGGGCCAATCTGCAGAACATTACTGACCTTATAATGCATAAACTTGGGCAGCCTTTCCTCGTGTAATCTCCAAAGGGCGATGTTTCTTTCTTGAAGAAAAAAGTTAGTGGCTTTCTCTAGTTCAGAGAGAATGCTGTGCATCAGGGAGGCCAGGAGTTTGTAGCCTAGAAGTTTAAGCTGTACAGGTCAGCAAGCGTAACAGTATGAAACATCAAAGCTTCAGATAAAATATGTATGTATATATATATATATGGTGAGTGCTAAGCCTAAATCTTTTTTCTCAAACTAAATTGTGTACATGATATATATTTGTTCTGTACTACAGCTTGCACTTCTTGGAGATTAGTTTCAACAATGCAAAATGTACATTTTAGTTTAAAATTAACCAAATGTTTTATGTTTTATCTTAGGGTGATCTTGATCCTTTGGCAACTATCAAATCTCTAACTTATCTAAGGTATAAAATCTTTATTTATTTTTCAACAATCTTTCTGGTTGTTGAAAAAACTAAGACTGCTATTATTTAAAAACAAATTTATGTGTTTACTTAATTTAATTCCACCTTTATTTTGTACAGCTAAAGGTAGTCTGCATAATGTTCCCTCCTTCTATTTTCTCTGTAACAATTCCTCCTCTGTGAGGAAAGTTGGGCTATGGTGATACATGTTGGAGAGAATGCAAAGATATTACATAGTTGTCACTTCCTCAGTTTTCATTGAATTTTAGATTTTCTTCCTGAAAGATTTATCTTTATAGATCTAATACTTGAACATGTGACTAGATGTCAAAAAGATTTAATTAGAATACATTTAGGCAGATAAAAAGCTTGCCTTGCAAATTCAAGTGGTACTCTAGAAAGAAATATGGTGTTGTGTGAAAAATAAATTTGCTTTTCCACTATAAATTGAACAAATAGCTGGTTGAAGTTAGTGTCATAAAATTATGTAATTATGTGTTTTATTTAAAGATATTGTTCCTTTTCCATTTGCAAGGTAGAATGGGTTGCTTACAGAAACAAAATAATACAAACATAGATGCTTTGGCTATTCCAAAGGTTATTTGAGTCTGGATTAAAACTTCTTTTTATGAGAAGTGTATAATAAACATGAAAAAAATATTTTGAAGTCTGAAAATATTTGCACAGGAAAAAATATGTGAGCTATTTAATAAAACATTGCAAAGTGTTTTTCATAACAGGTAATCAAAAGCCTAAGTTCCATGTATTCTAGAGGTGTTGAAAATATTTTGTAGTCAAAACCTGAGTTTGGAATATCTAATCTCACTAGAAACATTCTGATCTTGGGAGAATCCTTGCCAGTCTGAAAGTGGGTTGCTCTGACTATGAAAGGAGGCCACAATGTAATGTTCCAATATCAGAATGGGACATTTTGACCTTGTAATGTTTTATATATGTATAATGCATAGTGTTAATCAGGTTATATAGGGTAAATTTCTTGATATGTATTTGAAATAAGTGCTTTCTTTTTTATATGTAATTGCAATGTTTGCAAAGCATAAGAATTCTTCATTCATACAATAGCACGTTCTTTTTCACATGTAAACTTAGAACCACCCTAATATTTTTTTTTATCTGCAGTCATTTACTGATTGGTCTGGCAAACTCTTATCATTACCAAAGAAGTGTGTCTGTATTGCCTTTTCTTCTGGTAATTAATCTGTTGTTTGGATGTGTATTCCTCTGATCTCAGGTTTCACAATTTGTTCTTGTAGCTTACTGTTCTATCCTTTGTGGTCAAGAAATGACCTAAGAATTCAGAAGTTTATGAGAAACACAGTTGACAAAAATGGAACAGAAAGGCCAATGTTTTTCTCTTAATAGCCCCTGTATTTAAATTGTCTAAACACATTTCTCCTTTTGGAATTGAATGTCTTCCTTTTCCCTCTTTAGTGTTTTGAGAAATCCTGTAACAAATAAGAAGCATTATAGGTTGTATGTCATCCACAAGGTTCCACAGGTCAGAGTGCTGGATTTCCAAAAAGTGAAATTAAAAGTAAGTCCTCTGACACTTTTGCAGTACTGTTACCTGACAAGTATATTTATTTGCTTTGAGTTTTTCTATTTAACCTAATTTTCCGGGTAGCATTTTGATTATGGATGGACTTTTGTAACTGTAACGTGAAATGCTTTCTTGTAACTATGCTGGTTTTATGGAAACACCACAAATGCAGTCATAAGGTTAGAAGTTTTAAAAATGTAAACTTGTGTTCTAAATTTAAAAGCTATTTAAAATAAAACTAGGAATTCTGGTTTTGTGTGCAACCAGCGTATGACAGACCAAATGAAAGTTTAGAATTCATTTTGAAAAATGTATTCTGCAAATAATATCAGCAGCATCTAAGCTAAATAGAATTTGCTATATGACATAGTAGTTTACATGCCACCTTTGACAGCAGCACATCCTTTTTTAAAATAGAAGACATACCTGACAAACTACTGTACACAATTTCTGGGGAAGAATTGCAAGTTAAAATGCACAATCTTGATGTGTGTGTGTATTTATATTAGTTATTACTTATCCTGCAACTTGCTTTGGGGCAAAAACCATGCACAGTATGCTTGTTTCTATTGATGTTGCATTAACTTTGTGTGTGTGGTATTGCTGTAGGAGCGTCAGGAGGCAGAGAAAATGTTCAAGGGCAAGCGGGGTGCACAGCTTGCAAAGGATATTGCCAGGAGAGCCAAAACGTAAGATACGGATAACCACTTTAAACCCTTCAGAAACACCACAGGCAAATGAAAACCAAGGTGAAGAAGCTGTAATTAGCATTACATTGCTTCGTATACTTTTGAAGAAACAATATGACTGTCACCAACCTTGATGGTTCAAAATTCAAGTCAGCAACTTAACCTGTGTGTACCATTTACATTTTGCTTGGGACAGTGTTCAAGGGTGGGATTAGGGAATGCTTTCCTGCTGGTGTTTCTGAAAGAGCTATTATTTAATTGTATCAGTTTGTTAACAAAGATAAGATACTACACTTGATTGAAATCTGGGCTTCCCTGTGCTGTTCTTGGGAAGTTCGAGAAGCAGGTGAGGACCTTTTCAAATTTAACAATACATTTCTTTCTGAAGTTTCAACCCAGGTGCTGGTTTGCCTACTGACAGAAAGAAGGCTGGCCCCTCCCCAGGAGACGTGGAGGCTATAAAGGTAATACTTTCAGACCCCATAAAAGGAGCGTCAGTCAAGAAAAGATACTCACTGGACAGATCTAGC